CCATACACAAAATTGAACTCATGATGGGTTAAAGATTTAAAACTAAAACCCAAAACTATAAAAAACTTAGAAGAAAATCTAGCAATACCATTCAGGACACAGACACAGGCAAAGATTTCATGATGAAGACACCAAAAGCAATTGCAACAAAAGCAAAAACTGACAAATGGGATCTAATTAAACTAAAGAGCTTCTGCACAGCAAAAGAAACTATTGTCAGAATGAACTGATAACCTACAGAACAGGAGAAAATTTTTGCAACCTATCCATCTGACAAACGTCTAATAGCCAGAGTCTACAAGGAAGTTAAACAAATTTACAAGAAAAAACAACCACATTACAAAAGGCAAAGGAAATGAATAGACACTTATCAGAAGAAGACATACATGTCGCCAACAAACATACTGAAAAAAAGTTCAATATCATTAATCATTAGAGAAATGCAAATCAAAACCACAATGAGATACCATCTTATGGCAGTCAGAATGACTATTGTTAAAAGTCCAAAAACAGCAGATGCTGGTGAGGTTGCAGAGAAAAAATGCTCTTATACTGTTGGTGTGAGTGTAAATTAGTTCACCCATTGTGGAAGGCAGTGTGGTGATTCCTCAAAGACCTAGAGGCAGAAGTATCTTTTGGCCCAGTAATCCTATTAGTAGGTATATACCCAAAGGAATATAAAGCGTTCTATTATAAAGATACATGCCCATATATTTTCACTGTAGCACTATACAATAGTAAAAACACAGAATCAACCTAAACGTCCATCAATGCTAGACTGGATAAGGGAAAATGTGGCATATATATACACCATGGAATACTATGCAGCCATAAAAAGGAACAAGATTATGTCCTTTGCAGGGACATGGATGGAATGGGAGGCTGTTAGCAAACTAACGTGGGAACAGAAAAACAGACACCACATGTTCTCACTTATAAGTGGGAGCTGAATGATGAGAACACATAAGCACATCGGGGAGAACAAATCACATCAAGGTCTGTTGGGGTGGAGAGGGGAGGGAGAACATCAGAAAGAATAGCTAATTAATGTTGGGCTTAATACCTGAGTGATGGGGTGATCTGTGCAGCAAACCACCATGACAGACATTTACATATATAATAAACCTGCACATCCTGCACATGCACCCCTGAACTTAAAAGGTGAGGAAGAAAGAAATACAAGTCTCACTAAGGCAATACTTGCAATAGAATGTTCTGTAATAATGGAAATATTCTACATTGTGCTGATCAATATGGTGGCCACTAGCAACATGTGGCTATTGAGCACTTCGAATGTAGCCATTGTGACTGAGGAATTTTTTAAATTTAATTACAATTTATCTAAACTTAAATGTAAATAGCCATATGTGGCTAGTGGCTACCATATTAAACAGCATAGTACTAAGATTTTAACATCTGAAAGGTAGAGTATGAGTAGCCAGGTGATGGCTTCTATGTCTGATTTTACAGACCTTAATTAAAAGTGGGGGGGGGGGGATGGATGACGACAGTGTGATAATAAGTAACGTCTACTCTCTTGACCTGATGAGACTCTCTCTTCTGGGGAACTTATATGTGACACTTAGACTCACAATGTCCTAAGAAAAGTAATCTATGTTCAAGGGGCCATTTCTGGTCTCTTTTTTAAAGACAAGATATGATCACAGCAGATATCTAGGAGTTTCAAGAATTCTTCTTTATGAGGAAGGTTCAACGACTTACTCTTCATTTAGGGTCTCAATAGTCCCAAACTGTATTAAGCATAGTAGTCATTCAAAAATACTTGTCATACTTCCAGGACTGTCACTGTGTATACTATAAAATAACCTCTTAGGAAACCCACGCTAAGGAAAAGATGATCTCCTCTTCTGCAATACCGCAACAGCCTCCTAACTGGTCATTCTACTTCTGCTTTTACGTATCACTCACATTCATTCTTCTCTTTGCCAACAAAGAAATGTCTCTAAAATATTTGTCTGGCTATCCTATTTCTCAGCACAAATTCTAATAGCCTCAAACTCCATTGCCATTGCTATTACCTTAGTTCTGCCTTTATTGGCTCTAATCTGAACTTCTACAATTATGTCTCTAATGATCACCTGCCTCTAGCTTTGAACTGCCCAATCTATTCTCTCCACAGCTACCAAACATATCTGTTTAAAACACAAACCTTAAAATACTTTTGCTATACTTTTACTTAAAACCATCAATGACTACTCTGCCCATAGCAGAGATTCTCAGCATGCTGCAAATGGGTTACAGGTGAGCCAAGATATTGATCCTTTTAGCAGTAAAAGCAGTCAGGTAGGGCCTGGAGCTATGGGAACCTATGTCACTTTCCAACGTAAGCAGCTTTGTCTCATTTTTAAATAATCTATTTATCATCAATCTAATTGACATTTTGTATTTTGGTTTAAAAAAAACCATAAAATTTATCATCTTAACCATCTTTAAGTGGACAGTTCAGTAGTAAGTGTATTCACACAGTTGTAAAAAAGATCTTCAGAACTTCATCTTGCAAATTTGAAACTCAATGTCCATTAAGCAATTCCCCTGTTCTCCCTTCCCTCAGCCTCTGGTAACTGCCATTCTATTTTTGTTTCTATAAATGACTCCTTTAGATTCCTCATGTTAAGTGGAATCATACAGTATTTGTCTTTTTGGGACTGGCATATTTCGCTTAGCATAATTCAACAAAGTTCATGTTATAGTATGTGACATTTCCTTAATTTTAATGGCTAAATAGTATTTCATTGTGTGTATATATCACATTTTATTTATCCATTCATTCATCGACAGACATTTAGGTTGCTTCTACCTCTTGGCTACTGTGTAATGTCTATAAACATGGGTGTGGAAACATCTCTTCAAGACCCTGCTTTCAATTCTTTTTTATATATACCCTACACTGGGATAACTGGATCATATGATAATTCTTTTTAATTTTTTGAGGAACCTGACCCCTGCTGCATTTGCAAAACTGCTGATCATTCCTCACCTTCATCAAGTTCTCACCTTCCTCAGCTCTGAGGGTCTTCTCTCACCTGATCTTCCTCTTTCTTTTACTCCTTCTTAGTTTTCTTCCCAGTAACCTCTACTTGACTATTAAACAAACACCAGTGCTCCTCTAGGCTTATAGCTTCACTACTCAGTGCATTTCACAGCATACATAATTGAGACTGAATTGACGCTTTTTGCTGTCAGTTCCCCAAATAACATCTCTGGCCCTACTGTTTAGATTATCTAAATCTGGTGTTCAACCAGATGTCCTTACTTGGACATACCATAAACATTTAAAATGCAAATGGTTGAAAACCTGTATCCTTCATTATCTTATTACATACACTTGCCCAAACCACAAGCCAAACGTTTCCTAAACTCCCTCTCACTTACTAGTTACAATGCCCATCACCTGCAGATTCTAACTCCTTCACATTTTTCTAATCTAGTCCATCATCTTCATCCTACTAAGGCTGTTAGTTCAAGCTCACATCATTTCTCGCTTGGAATACTGGAAGAGCCTCCCAATCCATTTCCGTTCTTCCAATCTCTCCTCCACTTTGCTGCCAAAGCACATTACAGGTCTTCAACAAATGTTGTTGATTACATTAAGTACAAATCTGACAATGTCATTTCTCTGCTTAAACTTTCAGAGATATGCCACAACTTTCACAAGGCTTCTCATGATCTAGCTCCTTATTACTATTACTGCCTTACTGCCCCAACACTTCCCCTCACGTCCTCCTCTCCAGCCATTCAGCTTTTCTTAGTTCTCTAAATACCACGCCATGTCAGGCCTCCCTTCCTCTGCACATGCTACTACCACTCCTTTATTCCTCTGACTAGTACTTCAAACGTAGGCTTAAGCATCACCACTTCAGCAAAGTGCCTCATATATATCTCAATCACAGTGAATGGCAGCTAATGATTTGTCTGTACAACGTAAGTTCCTAGAAACCTTATTTGGTTTGTAGCACCAATGACTGGTACAGAGTATGTAATCATTCACAGACGGGTTTGATTTGATATCTTCTAAATTTAAAAAAAGAGAAAGGAGCTTAGTGGGCCTTATGTCACCATTCTAGTATAGCACAAAGTGAGAGCACTGTACTACAAAGCCAAATGTGCTGGAAATGCGAAAACAAAATAAAACAGAAGGCACACCTTTTCAAAAGAGGAAATGTAGGAAATTCTGAGAACCTATGTAGTGTCTAATTAACTAGCCCTGGAACTTTATACTATGTGGGGAAGGGCTTATTTAACACTTTGATGATAAAAACAAGTGGAAGGCTTCTCATCCCAATAAAGCAAATTAACCTTTCTTGGCTGTGTCACTGTAATTTTGGTTCCTAATGTAGATTCTCGCTCACTTCCTGACAGGTTATTTTCCTTCTTTGAGAGTCTTACCACCTCTAGGGACACTCATTTGTCAGTCAGCCATTTGTTCTCAAAATCTGAATGGGGGGAACGCGGATGGAAGAAGGAAGAGTGTGGGGGGATGACGAACACTTCAGGAAGGGGAGGTGACAGAAGGCCACAGTCCCCGGGATGGAATGGATTGGGCGCTGGGGCAGTATCAGAGTGGAGCGCTGACATCTGGCAAGGAACAGGGAGGATACGATCACGGAGCAGGCAACATGAAATAGGGAACGACCCCAGGCTGAAGATGGGGAGACGGAGAAGATGCTCAGAGAGAAAGCTAGGAATGTGACAATGTGGTGGGGGCTGGGGGGAGGGAGGAAGCGGTGATAGGCAGAGCCAAGAGGAAGCAAGACGCAGTTTTTGGCCAGGAATCAGAGGGGCTGAGGAGAAAAGCTGGGTCGAGAGGAAGACAACACAAATGGAGCTTTAGGACGAGGGGGCAGGGGGTCATCCCGGTGCGGAAGGGAGGCACGGGAAGAACTGAGGGTCCAGTGGGCAGAGGCAGACGGCGCAGAGTAGGAGACCCGAACCAGCCGCGCAGAAGCCGGGGAAGGCACGGCGAGGCGAGAGGCACTTACTGGGGTCCCTCCGCACGGCGCCGCTGGGGATCTCCTCCCGGAGGTGAGGAAAGAGGAAGTCCCGGGCGGCCTGGAGGTCCTGGAAGTAGCAGAACTGGATAATGGAGCAGGCCATGGCTCCGGGGAACCCCACTACGGCACTCACCTCACCTCACCACGCCCTGCCCCCTCCACCCCAATGAGGCCGCCGCCGAGCCCCGACAGCACTAGCCAAGCAGGAGGCGGAGAAACCAAACCGGAAGCTGTCACTGACGCGAGTCCGCCGTCTCGGAGTAATGCGCAGGCGCAGGCAGGCCCAGGCGGCGAAGGAGGGGGGAGGCCCGGGTCACGTGACCACGGCGCCGCAGCTGCGGGTGGAGCCCACGCCAACTTGGAGGCTTGGGGCAGTTTTTCAGTCCCAGTACTGCATCTATGCCCGGGAATGAACCCTTTCATTCATTCTGGCTTTTAGCCAGAGGTGTTCTAATTGGACATGTCCGCGCAGGCCTTTGACTCATTCAGCCGGTCTTACCGATGCCGGATTATTGGCACGATCCTAATGTTTCACAGAAAATAATTTGTTTTAAACTAGTGGCAGGCCAGTGGGGGACCGTATCCTGCAAGAGTCGGATTTCGAAAAGATTAATTGCTCTTCCGGAGATTATCCCCGTCAAGGCTGGCTTTACAATGCTCCTGCTATAAATTCCCATAGTGCTATGCAAGCCCAATATAGTACGTGTTATAATGTATTATATACACTTATGCTTTCATTATTCGTTTGGTTTTTCATTCATGCATTCATCTATCCGTTCAACAAATATTTGTTAGTCTTTTAAATGCCAGCCACGCAGGGTGTTCAGCATTAGAGAACAAAAGAGAATACCTTTTCCCAGAAAGCTAGAATTCTAGTAACCGATACACGCAGTAAGCAATTAATTACAGTAGTTACCTTTAATCCAATGGGATATGTTTTAAGCCCCCCAGTGGATGACTGAAACCATGGCTAGTACTGAAGCCTATGTATGTGTACTATGTTTTTTACCTATACATATTTATAAGTTAGGCACAGTAAAAGATTAACAATAACTAATAATAAAATTGAATAATTATATGGAAAATGAACTCATGGATAAAGGGGGCATTATTGTACTCAACTATTTAATTGAAATTGTGATTATGCTAGTAAGTGCTTCATAAATATTTGCTGAAGAAATAAATGGAATGGAATGTGTACATGGAGTAAATAAAATAACCTGTTTCTTTTACAAAGCATTTTCTATTTTTGAAAGTACTTTACATTGTCCATTTGCATAGTCACAAATGCCATTTTAAAATAGTGTGTCTTTGCAAAGGCGGTTTCAGTTAAAGATTAAATAATAGTTAAAAAAAGAAAAAAAAATAGTGTGTCTTATCCCATTTTCTAAATGAAGAAATTGAGCTGTCTCTGAACAGGCTTGAAGTTTAAGTTATTTTTCCAAAAAGTAAAAGCCAAAAAAAATTATTTTTATGTTAGCACAAAGGCCTGTAGGCATTTACACACTTCCCAAAGGAAACCTAAAGAGGCCATCCACTTTGTATGAGAAAATGGCACAGGAGTAAATGGAAGGCAAGTGGATGGGGTCCAGAGCATTCATTTCTGTCAGGCCTGTGAACATACACACTTAGTCCTAATAATATAACAACTGTAATTTAGTGCTCAGGTTCCTATTCTATTATTTCCGATTTCTAGAGTAGGATGATTTTCCCAAAATAGGATAGGCAATTTCTATGTTATCAGGTTAACAGGAATCAGTTCTTCACCTAAAAATGCAGTTGAATCAGATGTGCTGTAAGGTCCCTTTAAGCATTTAGGGACCTATACTTCTGTAATCAAAGCTTTCAGAAAAGGCAAGCTGCCAGTGCTCCCTTCTTCGATCTGAAGAAATGCAATGTTTCCTCAGATCATCACTAGAATAATCCAGTCCTGATAAGATTATTCCCTAAAGTCCAGCACCAATCCCAAACTAAATTAAAATTAAAATTTAGATTCTTAGTGTTACTGGATGAATAAAGAATTCATGACACTTTCTGGAAGGAGACTGTCCTTCCTTGAAAACCATTCAAGTTCCTATTCAGGTAAATGCATTTTGTGGAAGTAACTGCTGTTGGCTGATTCTGCTGGCCTTTGTTCTGCCCTGAGGCATTCATATATCTCCTGTGGTGGTCATTGAATTTCATCACTGTGTTGGCTCAGTTTTAATGGTGAAGTCCCTGACTTCCTTCCAAGTACTGTTGAAAAGGTTCATTCATGGATGTTTTTAAGGATTTTAGATACCCTTCACAGAAATTACAACACATTCATGAACTGAACTCTTCCCCCAGGAAGCTGTAAAGCTGCAGGGGGCATGCCTCTGGAGTTCTGCTGCCATGGTTTCTGTGGCATGTGGGAGAATTGCATCAGAGAGTGAATATCACTTATTCCACAGTCATAAGAAAGCACATTCCAAAAATGTGCAGGCCTTACATATCCCAGCATTGACAATGTCTCTCTGAGGTCTGGTTTCAGGAGCTAGGAAAAGCACTGTGACCAAAATAACCACAGGATGAGTCCAGGTGCTAATGTGAACTTCCTCCAGTATCCATTAGTGTGAGTCAGACCACTGATGACGGTTGTTAAGAGAGATGTGTTAATGAGGATGATAAACAGCAGGCTCTTGCCAGTCCTTAACAGCAGCCTGAAGCAGAAGGGGTTGAGATGCAGGATGGGCGCTAATCGAAGGTGTGAGAGAAAGAGCAATGGACCTGGAGTCATGACCTTGGAAAATTCATGTCACGTTTCTGGGACTTAGTTTCTTGATTTATAAAATGAAGAGGGTGGGCGCTAAAGTTCATCCCAGGGATGTGTAGGTTTCAGTAAGAGACGGAATGGCAAGCTCTGGGAGTTAGAATTGCTTAAAAGAGGCCGGGCGCGGTGGCTCAAGCCTGTAATCCCAGCACTTTGGGAGGCCGAGGTGGGTGGATCACGAGGTCAAGAGATCGAGACCATCCTGGTCAATTTGGTGAAACCCCGTCTCTATTAAAATACAAAAAAAAATTAGCTGGACATGGTGGCGCGTGCCTGTAATCCCAGCTACTCAGGAGGCTGAGGCAGGAGAATTGCCTGAACCCAGGAGGCAGAGGTTGCGGTGAGCCGAGATCGTGCCATTGCACTCCAGCCTGGGTAACAAGAGCGAAACTCCGTCTCAAAGAAAAAAAAAAAAATTGCTTAAAAGAAGTGGTCTGTAGAAGCACCCCAGTAAGAAGCTTGGGTCAGCAGGAGAAAATGTGAGGGTTCTGGACATCTCTAAGAGAAAGTAAGGGGAACATAGCAAGGAGATGGAGAGTCCTTGAAGCCTTACCTCATAGCTTTGCTAAGGGTCATCCTCGAACTGATAACTGAGTGAGCAGAGCAAGGGCTATTTACAACTATTAGTCAACAAATATGCATGGAGTGCTTTTTACACTAAAGGTGCTATAGTAAGCACAGTGAGGCAATAAAGACAAAGGATCCAGGGATTCACTACCTAAAAGCAGACAAACACATACTCTCTAAGAGCAGAGTGTGATGAATACCATGGGTGCCTTTTGGACAAAGGGCACTGAAGGAAGACATTAATTTAGATCCCTAGGCGTGTCCCTTGGAAAAGAAGTAGTGTGGAAGAGGTAGGAAAGGCACTAAACAAATTGGTTCTTGATTATAGAGAACCTCAAAATCCAAATAGTGAAACCACCTTTGCAAAATTATGACTGAGACAGTGAAAGAGATGTAACTTAGTTGACTCCATCTTGCTTCTAACCTCCAAGCTCTCCTTGTTCATTCCTGGGTGTAGACTGAACTAACTTTGGGAGAAACTTAGTTTATAGTTTAAACAAAGATGATAACAGCCTTTTTCCAAAGCAGACTTCCTTCTTGTCTGGGAACTAGATTGCCTTTGTAAGACTAACATTATCCACAAGATTAAAAATTAGGGTTTAGGAGTCATGCAACCGAAGGCTACAAGATTCTGACCCTCCCTAAACTGTTCCTAAGATCAGTGCTTGAGATATTTTGCAGACCCTGCACTTGATGGATCACCTGGCACCACCCAGATCAATAAACTGGCTCATCTAACTTGTGCCCCGTGCCCCACCCACGCAGGAACTGACTCAGCACAAGAAGACAGCTTTGACTCCCTGTGATTTCATCCCTGACCAATCAGCACTCCTGGCTCACTGGCTTTTCCCAACTCACCAAGTTATCCTTAAAACTTCTGCTCCTGAATGCTCAGGGGGACTGATTTGACTAATAATAAAACTCTGGTCTCCCACACAGCCATGAATTACTCTTTCTCTTGCAATTCCCCTGTCCTGATGAATCAGCTGTGTCTAGGCAGCTGGCAAGGTGAACCCCTTGGGTGGTTATATGTATGATCATATATCAAAACACTGGATAGTATGATCTGGTCTTTTTGTGTGTGCAAGGTGTAGACAACTAAAGATATTTTAGAGAAGTTATAGCAGAGCAGTATGTGGGATGACTGAAGGCAGAGAGATCCCTCTAGATGTCATAGCAAAGCAATATTCTGTAAGAGAAGTAATAACAGTGGAAAGTCAGTGCCTCTCTGGTGGCTGAATCAATAGTTTTGATATATGGTTAGATATAGGTGTGGGAAGGGAAAATAAAACCCAAGGTGATGTTCAAGTGTTCAGTTCAAAGAATTGGAAAGGTGGCAATGTCATGTCAGCAACCAAGATATAGAATGTAAAAGGAGGAATGGATTTGAGGCAAATAAAAATAGGATGAGGTTGGGCATGGTGGCTCATGCCTGTAATCCCTGTGCTTTGGAAGGAAGAAGTGGGAGGAGGATTGCATGAGGCCAAGAGTTCGAGATCAGTCTGGACAACATAGAGAGACCCCATTTCTACACAAAATTAAAATTTAAATTGTCTGGGCCTGGTGGTACATGCCCATAGTCCTAGCTACCTGAGAGGCTGAGTCAGGAAGATTACTTGAGCCCAGGTTTGAGGTTACAGAGAGCTATGATTGTGCCCCTGCCCTCCAGCCTGGGTGACAGAGCAAGTGAGACTCTGTCTCAAAAAAAGAAAGAAAGAAAAAAGGATAAATGAATAAATTCAGTGTTGGATTTGTTAAATTCAAAGTGCCCACAGAAGAGCTAGGTTTTTTTGTTTTTTTTTTTTTTTTTAAAGTTGTTTTATAAACCAAAGTTAGAAATTGGGATTGGAGAGGCCAGAGGAGATGAAGCTACCTACGGAAATCTTCCACACAGAAGTTATATTGAAGAGAGGAGATGAAAGTGTCAGTGG